GAAGATTTCAACTGGTTCAGTATGCGATCCAGTGGTGATCTTTCGTGATTGTGATGAAGTTCCTCAGTCAGCTGTACGACTGCACTACTCAAGAAAGGCCCTGTGCTATGTACTCAGTCATAATTATACAAAACAGCTCATCATTATTGGTCTTATTTTCAAATAAACTTTCCACTTTTCTTTTACTCCATGGTAATATAAAAACAGACTTCTCTTACCAACTTTGCCCAGTCACAGGAAATCTAGAACATTGTATTTTATCTGTTTGGGAGTAATTCAGAACAGTGTTTTTCAAACTCTGGGTTGCAACCCACAAGTTTCTTGTGAGAAGTAATTTACTTGGAATGTGGCTTCTAAGGTAATATAATGTAAATGCAGTTCCTTTAAATAAATTTTAGTATTTTTTTTATGTTTATCATTTATATTTTAATTTTATATTTCAAAGGAAATATTAAAAAATTTAAATTTAAATTGTATGTAGTTCTGTACTGAATTGTGATGTGGTATGCTGTAAACATTTGCGTAAAAGATCCTTTCGCTTTTGAAAATACTGAATGAATAATCAAAGTTCACTTGACATGCAAAGAAGATGAAATTTCACAAAAAAAATTACAAGAAGACATTGTGTGTTGTTACTGTTGCCATTCACATCAACTTATATGTACGAACAACTAAGATTTTTGATGGTGACACAATTAAAAGTACATAGAAGAAACTCACTCAATACTGCAACCTCTATGCATTACAGTACTGAACAGGCAGGCACGTCGGCTGCATTAGAGGTACATAAACATCTTTAACTAATCATAACTTTGTACTCATGGTATTAATTTATTCAGCACGTATGTCCCATTATGTCAACTTACTGCCATTTCTCAATAATTTATAAATATATATTATTACGTGATTACAGTAAAAAAATGTATTTATTACCATGGGTTGCAATGTAAAAAAACTGAAAAACACTGCCTTATGACAAATGTTACCTAGAAGAGTTTGATATCACAAACTAATGAATGCTGAGATAAATCTTGAAGTTGTGTTCACTAAAATGGAAAATGGTTTCACACTTTTACATGGAAAGATGTTGATGTTTATATAAGAACTCCTTCTCAGGATTATACGTAAATTTATAGTCTTTTCAGATTTTGTTCCGCTGACTTCCAGAAAAAACCTTGTTCTTCTGGCTGGACATGTGTTTAAAACTTCTTACATTTGTAACAGTAACGGACATTATACAAGTCATGCATATGTACTGTAGAAATAATAACTCTGTACTGAGAAGAAAAACTTCAAATCAATTTCAGTGTACATGTAATTTTGGATGTAAGTAATATATTCATGCAATTGTTTCATATTTAATTTTCGCTAAACCTCAGCATTGAGCTCCATTACTGTTCTCATCTCAGTTCTGTTGCTAAATGTATACTCATTCTATGCTAGTCAGTAGCACATAGAAGTTCTTTCATTTGTTTTACTGTCTTGTTATTTTAAACATGTATTTACAGTTTTCACTTTCAATAAATTTTCTAACTAAATTTCTGCATTTTGAAACTATATACGCGTAATAATGTCTGAACATTTCACAAATGTTGTGCCCTGTGATTTCATTTACATGACATTTTCTCAATATTTATAATACTACTTCTATGTCAATGCATTTTACATTTACTGTAAGTATGCTTAATTTATTAAGATACATTTTCATTGTAGACTGATCTCAAAGGTAATTTATTTTATAATGTAATATTTATTGTAACTTGTTGAACTGTTAAGTGGCTGATAAATATAGATTAGATGAAAAAGTACAGGCAGTTTATGTATTATTGCTTGTTTTATAATCGCATCTACTACAGTTTGAATATGGTAACATTATTTTGTTTAATGACATACTGTAATTTTATATACATAAAAAGGCACACTGTTACAGAATTAGTACAAAATAATTTATTTGTTATTAAAGTATGCACATACTTAATCTTAATTTTTTTGTTGGATTAATATTAATAATGAAATAAACTAAAAATATACTCTAAAAAACACAAAATAAAGAGGGCCATCTAGTCCTAGGAAACAAAAAAATTAAGTAGGTTTCCCCAGCAAAATCTTATACTCATTTCCCATTTCCCTGAGTTGCATATCTAGCCCAATAACAAACTGTTAACAAAAAAAGACCCTCACTTATACGATATCCATTACCTCCTACCATGACAAAGTATTATAAAAGTCTGAGGGGTAGTTTTATTGGTAATAACCAATTTCTGAACAGGGTTTTAATAAAAATGTTTCCCAAAAACACTTACAAGAAGGCACAAAATCATGTTCTAAAAGTCAGACTGGACTGCAGGAGCTAGGGCACGGGTGTCTTTGTGACCATGTGATGCCAGAGCTCGGTTAAAAATTGGAAGTGTGAATGAAATCCAAAACAAGCTCAGAAAGTGTATTCCACCCCATAATAAACATTATATCCTCATGTGTTCTTAGCAATGTGCATTTAGGGATATTACATCTGCCTTGTTTGATAGTTACAACTATGGCCACCTCATGAATTATCTCAGCCACCATTTTGTAAGCACTGCTCATAGGATATTCAAAAACATTATTTTGAGGTTGTGCAGAATAGCACTACCTCCAAATCAAATTTCATCCAAATCCATTCAGTGGTTCTGGAGTCGAATCGATTGTACAGATGATCGGACAGACACAACCAGCCCATGATGTGTTCTTGCTATGTATTTTGGTCAGAGAACGCACAATAACCAGTCAGGTGTAAATATCTAATTTAAGGATGTGTTCGGAGTTTTAAGCTGGTCAAACAACATATGACTAATAGGTGAGGCAAGCAATAAGAAATTGGAAAGAAGGAAGTCGAGATTTGGTGGTACTGAGTGGTGAGACTGTCTCTTAGACTATTGTTCAACTGACAGGAACTATATTCAATAATCTCCTCCCCCCTCCCCACCTACAAAAGTATGAATCAGAATAAAAAAGGAAAGCTGTCCTGCTACATGCCAAGGGGCGAGGGAGTATTGCACGTACTTATTCTCAACCTTGACACTGAATGGAGGTAAGTGATCAGGGTCACGCCCTGGCTGCACTTTACCCCTAGGAAATGATCCCAGTGCCCATTGGACAAGAGGCTGGGACAGGCCCCAGAGCCAATCTGGACACAGAGGCTAGAGGAAAAACCCTCTGCCCCTGTCGGTGATCAAACCCTGGTCGTCCAGTCCATAATCAGCCATTATACTGACTGAGCTACCTTGGCTCATATGAATCAGAGTATAAAGAAGTATAAGCTGGCACTAAAAGAGTATCTCCTGTATCAATCCTTATACTCAATAGAAGATTTGACCTCCAACCTAAACTTATGTTTTACACATTTCACATATAACGCAGGTACTCACGTCCCCCGAAACCCATGTGATACCGAGGTAAGTTTGTGCACGAACTGTGTTTCCTAGAATATTATGTTGCTACTTATTCAGTAAGATACATTTGAACATTACGGTACCTTAGATTTGTAGCGCTGATCATATCTGAGCCAGCAGCTGTAGTTACAGATGAAATATGAATAAGGCTGATTACTATGATGAAAAGTTTAATCTTCAGCTAGTTCCTTTGTCCTTGAAAGCTGTGAAATCGCTAATATAAAGTGGTTCTGCCAGAAGGTGTAAAAATGATAATGAGATTAATTATCTCAGTGGGGACTTTCATTTACACTAGAGGGAATATCATGAGACAGCTTAATTTGATGCCAACTGATTTTTATTTCTCTTCCATTTCTGTTTATTAAAATACTTTATTTGTACACAAACAAACAGAATATTCACCCTAAAAATATGAATGAAATATATAAGAAGCAACATCTCAGTTGCAATGACCCTCTGACTGTGCACAATGATAATGTTTGTATGAACATCTGTAGTCAACATAATACCACCCTTGTGAAAGAAGTGAACCTCTATAGCCCAGTCCGGAATGGAACATAAGAGATAGTGGTGCAACTGGAGAATGATTCAGAAATTTTAATGTAATGGCATTGACACTGAGAGAGAAGGCAAATTATAATGAAGTCCATATTCAGGACAGCCAGATTCTTCATAGAGCAGTCACATAGTCAGATACAAACTCCAGCAAAATACACTTTAATGTCTTCCATCCATTATTAACTGAAATTTTAAAATACTACCTACCACATTATGAAATTGTATACGACTGTTGAAAGGAAACACTGAATTGCACCTCGCACATTAAACCAAGCATCCTCACTACGAGTCATTCGAAATTTCTAGTACGCATGTACACCAAAACAGAATACTAACCTAATGAACAATCTTGATAGGTCAACTAATCCGACCGTCATTGACGTCAAAGCATCCCGATGTTGGCGACAAGCAGATACCACACATAACTTCAACATCCCTTGCAGCTCCTCCCAAAATATCCGAGAAGCAATGTAGGGACCACACTCTCCATCCTCCAGCTTAGCCGACCCGAACGCACAAATCTTCACCATGTGACTTACCTCCACATGACAAGACATTACTACGCCATTTCCTTCGTGAGCAGGGATGGCAACCTCAGAAATTCAAACTCACAAAAAACCTATATTCTCGCTTCTGACATCTAGGAACAAGTGGATAGAATTGCACAGGCTCGAAATTGGATCAGCTAATAATGCGTTTGCATAGGCATGGGTTTGACTGGGCACAGGCGGGGGCGGGAGGTACTTGAACAGAATTGGTTGCAGTGTTCATGTGTCCTTCTCAGCTTTACAGTCATCTCTCTTTTCCGATACAAATGCGATGCTTACATTCACATATGTCCCCTTGAGCCAGAACAAATTTTTTTGGATCTACTTGAAAAAGCCTACACTTCATCAATGCTGGCAGTGACCATCAAGTAGTAAAATTAAAACATAATATTATAAATAACAAGCGTGGAGATAATATTACGTAAAGTAACGCAGTGTATAGTAGAGGCCACATACATAACAGTCTTTTGGTAGAATTTTTATCTTTAGGCTGATGGTACTCTGTAATCAGTGGTGGGAACTGAAAATAATACCAACATACTCAATGATTGACTGCAGTTTTGTACCGAATCGCTGTAAAATATTAGTTTGAGAGATAACCATAATAATGTTTAAAGGTAAGTACCAGGTTTTGGTGTGTTAAAAGCTTTCGTAGTAAAATTCACGTGGAGTTCATTTAAGATTCAAATAATGTAAGAAAGTGACACATTTCATGTCTAATTAAAGGTGAGATTACTTATTTTGCAGCTGTAATTGTACTGTTAAATTTTTGTTGTTATTGCACAGTGATCCTACAGTAAGTATATGATACAGCAACGTGATGTGAACAGGATATATGACGTTACAATAGTTTGTAAGTCAAAATACCTTGATTTACATTTCTTTATAGGTTGAAAGAAACGATGGATATACTAGTAGCTAAATGTATAGTGCTTGTCACACTATTTGCTTTAGCATTAATATTCAGCCTGCTTCCACTGAAGCTTGTTTCAAATCTTCGTAATACAGCAGATCATTTGAAACGGACCAGGTTGGTAATTATTTTACTTTATTTACCATTCATTCACCATTCACCCTCTGCAGATTATATTCTGATTCAACTAAACTTTGATTGTTCAGTTTTCATAAATTACCAATAATCAACATTATATCCAGACTATTACATATAAATTTTTGTTTTTAAACCTGCCCTGTCCTAGTATCAATTTTATTAAAATGTTTGTTACCATCTATTATTTTTAAACAAGATAAGGCCTGTAATATATATATATTTTTGGAGTGTGTGCTGAATTTTAATGTGGAGTTTTCAAAGTTGGAGACTGAAGAAATAAATACAAAATCATATAATTAATTAATACAAACTATAATTTGAATTAAATTGCAATATGAAGATTGTGTTCTGGGATGTTGCACCATGTACTCATTTATAAATTGACTGACCTAATTATGGAAACAGTAAACACCCCTGAAACATTGGTTTTTACCTTGACTACACACTGCAGCATTGCAAGAGAGAGTTGTCTTCATTCTCATTGCAGTGAGAAACTCAAATTTCACTAATTATAATGTGTTGCTGTAGCTGTCATATCATTTAAATGTTTAACAAGTTCCATACATTTTTACTGTTAAATTTCCTTGGCAGGTATGGTTTTGTCATAAGCCTGCTTAGTTGCTTTGCTGGTGGAATATTTATGGGTACTGGTCTGTTGGATCTTTTCCCAGAAGTCAATGGGATGTTGAGTCAGGTATTGACATTGTCACTGTAAGTTAAGTAGATCAGGCGTCATAGTTAGTTACAGAAAATGTATGTAATCAGAGATCTGATAAGACAAACATTAAAGACTTGAATTACCTACATACATTATAAAAGTCAAAGAAATGCAAGCATTTCTCTACAGATATTCTGGTTTGTCTTCAGCTTCTTGGCGTAGATTTACCAGCTTCATTTCATAGCAAATAAAATAATGTTTAAAGTTGAATATACTGTGGTTTATATGCATGTTCAGTGAACAGAGTCTGGGCTATAAGTTTTGAATCATGAAACTGATTTTTTTTTCTTTCCTGGTATAGGTAAATGTTAAATTATACATGAAGTCTTCCTTTCCTGTGGCAGAATTTACTGTTGCTTTTGGATTTTTCCTGATCTTGATTCTTGAACAGATAGTTCAGGACTGTAAAGAAAAACACACTGAAAGCAATTTGCTACAGGATGAAACTGTAAGGACAGATGTGAATCAGTCATGTGACCCAGAAGGAGAGCACCAACTTCACCATGAAGTTGAAGCGGGTTCCAGCACGCTAAACGTTCCAGTCTATCGTGAACCAGAGCTGCACCCAACACTGCGATCACTTGCTCTTTTATTTGCACTGTCTTTGCATTCCTTATTTGAAGGACTGGCTATTGGACTGCAAGAAGAAGTGTCCAGTGTCCTTCAGATCTTTGTAGCCGTTGTGCTTCATAAGATGGCTTTAGCATTTAGTTTGGGACTCAGTCTTGTGCAGACAGAACTTTCTCTGAGATCTGTTATCAAGTCCAACTTTCTCTTCAGTATCACCTCACCATTAGGGATGTGTATTGCAATAATGGTAGAGGAGTTCGGACACAGTTTGAATTCATCCGTCTTGAATGGTATTCTCCAGGGATTGGCGTGTGGTACATTTTTTTACGTAACATTTTTTGAGGTCCTTCCTCATGAACTCAGTCAGAGTGAAAATCGTTTACTGAAGCTGTTGGCTCTGTTGGTTGGTTTCTATGTGGTTTGTTTTGTTCTTTTCTTGGATCCAACAGAATCTCCATATTGTACGTGTCCGTAGGAGCAGTTTTTGGACTGATTAAATTAAACCAGTGTTTTGTGAGTTCAACCTCCTTAGTCTAGCAGAGGTTACACTGTAAAATAATTCTGAATCATGAAAGTTTGATAGGTTATAATAATTTTGATAAAAGGCAGGTTCCAGGGGTCCTGGGGTCAAACTTCAGAGTGGAGACTGGCCATCCTGACTGAAGCTTTTTCATGGTAGTCATGATAGTGCCTTAAGTAGGCCACAGCTGCTGCCTTCCACATTCTTTCCAATTCATTGGTTGCCATGTAATTTAACACTAAATAGTCTGAGCTGCTAACAGCATTCTTAAACCACAAAAGAAAGTTGTCGTGATTTTCCTCTCACTCAATCTGTGATGCAGAAAATTCTTTGAAAAGTCATTTGTACACTCGGCTTGTCAGAGAATAGCCCGCTTTCTTTATGGAGCCCGAAGGTCCTTCACCTTGTTCACAAAAGCCTGCCACAGGACAAACTCCTGAGCCAGCTGCATCCAGTTTGCTCCATTAATTCTTGTCTCCCGAAGGTCCCACTCTGTTGTCAAAAACCCTCAACCTATGTTTCTCAAAGTGAGAGACCAAATTTTGCACTTTTCCTACAGACTAAAATAATATTTTGAACAGATAGAAAATCAACTTCAGCCAGTTTTTTGTACATACGACTGATGAAGTAAAGTTACTCCAAACTTAAGTCTTACATGAAAAACTTTTCAAGTTACAGTACAGATTTAATTCCTTAAATCTGGAAGCAAAACTATATTCAAAGGTTTGTAAATTTAAACTTAACATATGCAGTAATGTTATAGGAACAGGAAGTTTCTAAATAATATGCACGAATAAAGTTTTCTCTGGTACTTATTAAATGCCACCCCTGTGAAGATGAATTAGGTAGTGGAGGATAAGCTCCACTCTTTCTAGATGCAGGTAACAAAATCTTAGTTACAATGCCTGAAAGGAAGAGACTTTACATATGAAAAAATAATAAGGTATGATGGTGCGGATAACTGGCTTTTATATACACATTAACCAACTTTCAGGTCCCATGAAAGCAGAGCTCTAGACATATTTATTACCAATAATCTACATATGAAAGTTGGTCACCTCGTGCTTCAACAAGAAAAATAGCAATACTTTAATAAAAACGAAACACCAAAATATATATTGTGGAGGAGTTTGCTAATCTGTGATAACACAATGTCCATACCAAATTCACACAGCAAAGAGAAATGTCAGGATTCATACGGCCCATTAAACCGAGTGTAATGCGAGTACGAAGTATGATTTGTAGGGAGGAAGAAAATGTGTGTACAATAAAATCCTGTGAGGAAGGGCTCCTTGACATTGACAGAAAGAAAGAAATTAATTCAACTTACAGAAATCATTTGTTGGCATTTGGCTGACACAAATGCACTGGTGGACTCTTCTGATCCTGGTTCTAGAATTGCAGAAGGAATAGGCCTTCTAAATATAAACTGGTTTCTTTATCAGCTGTCATGAAGTCTGGAATATAGATGGTAAAGTACTGAAGCACACATTCTACTTAAAACATTAAATGTACACCACTTGAAAGTATTCATTTGTGGACGTCATTCAGCACAGATGAGTAGCCGACCGCTAAACCCTGGAGTTCGAGTCCAGCTGCCAGGCCTGTAGTGTGGGGGTTAAACCACTTCTTCCCACATGACAAAGAATACAAGGAAATGACATGAACATCCTGATTATGTCCACTGCTTTCAGAACTGATCTCATATTTGTTACACTTACGAGTAATGTGTATAATTATGGATGCTGTGTGAACACAAAAGGAGGATATACCTTGTGCAATGACATCATTTTATAATTATTCCAATGGCTGTGAAATATCATGATATATTGTACAAAAACTGAATAAAATTTTTTTTTGCTTTATAAAATGTTGGCTCCCCCCCTCCCAAAGCTTCATCCCCATTTTGGTCATACATTATCCAGAAAGGACCATCTATTGGCTAACGAAAAATCTGACAAGATGGAACGTATCAGCTCATGGCAGTGATAGGGTGAGGATATGAAAGTGTTGACAAGTTGAATGTAACCTACCACATTTTAATTTCAACAAACAATCATGTTGCTGCATTTTCAGTAAATTCAGGTTATTGTATTAACTTGGAAAGGGTGAAAATATTCTGCAACATTCAATCCCAAAAACACATTGCCTTATTATTTACCAACAAAAGTGTCCTACTGTGGTACATTCAATCAACATAAAGTTATGTTGCATACAATTTGTCAGATTTCACAGTGTTTTGGTATAGGCCTACAGCGGACAGTACAGTACCTCAGTCCACTGCAAATACAATATATAACTTCAATTCTAGAATGTATTTATACATGGTAATTAAAACAAAAAAGTGGTTCACTGAATAATGTTTTCAAAACACTGAGACCTTGAAGGACCTACAGACATGAAAACCAAAACAAAAAAAGGTACACGCATCCATTACCAAGGGCTAGCTGAAATTTGTTTTTGTGAATGATACAGTGTGTACTTTTTCTGACACAAAAAGTGCGATTCACCGCAGCAGTGTCACAGAGTCAACTGTACTGACAACAAAGTGATTACTGTCGAGCAATGTCCTTTCTGATATTGCATGGAACTTCATCCAATCCATTTACTTCCAGAATCTCCCATACCTGGGATATACAATGTCTTATCGGGTGCAAATGTGTAGAAAGAAGCAAATAAAACTCCTCGGGTCTGTAGTAGACAGGAAGGCAAAACCTGCATCTCAACTCTTCTCATTTTATATACACACAAGATTAATATTCTGTATTATAATGTGTACATCTCTTTTGGGACACTCTATATATTTTGAGAAAAGTAATTTTAAGCACATTAGTAAAAGATAAAACTGAAAAAAAACAGACTTTTCTAACAAAAAAGGAGAGCTTATTGTATCCCAGGGGCACAATGAAAAAAAAAATTCACTTCACGTTTATTAAATTACCGTATTCACTCAATTGAAAGGCGTGTCTATCGGTACGCCTGTTCATCCTACAAGTTTCAATTAACAAAGCTGTCAGCAGTGAAACTCCCGTAATTGTAAGCATGCGTTATTCCATCTATCAAACATTCTTTCCTGTCAAGAACCATATATACAGAAACAAAAACTTGCAATATAAATTGCAACGAGAAGCTACATGGAGCTACAAAGCTTGTATTTCACAAAAACGAGCGACATTTAAAATTGCAATTGAGCAAATACGGTCGTCAGTCCCACTAAGTTATTAGGAAAATTTTATGGCAGGATTTGCACGGGCTTCTGATGAAATTCATTGGCTTAAGAGACGCTATTCATTATTAATGATTTTATACTGCAACCTAAAGAAAAGTGATCGTCATACATGTGCCATAAAATACACCAAAGGGCGCCAATCATGTCACCATAAAAGCTACAGGCTGGCAAGAATCTTAAATGCACCACCACTGTGAACCCACAGTTCTACCAACGTTTGAAGGAATATTATTTTTTCACTTTGATCGCATGACCAAGCGTAAATACAGCATAAATGACGGTTGTCTTTCGGTAACAGGAAAACAATAACGTGGTACACAGCGAGTAATATAAGAGTCTGAAGGTTCGCGCAAAGAATATTCGCTTGTTACCAAGCGTCTGTCTCGCGTCTCACCGGAACAGGAAGCAATTAGTTTATATAAATATTATTTATTATACATGACTGAAGTGTCCTTATTTATTCTAAAACCATTTATTAGACCAACATGTAGGACAGCATAAGCTATTTATATGCCACTACACATAACATATTCTCCAAGTACATAACTTCATAACTGATCAAGAATTCGAGCAAATTATAAGAGCACTGGTCTTTTATTATATTGGCATCAGTGTGATCTACACCGAACAAAAACTTCTCTGACTGAAGGGTAAAGGATGACAGCTGGCAACCCTTGGATGCAATATATCTCTTCTTTTACTTGTTATAAATAAATTTCATGCAAACATCTTGATATCGAATAGCAACCCAGGTCATTATCCAAGTGAGGGGTAAGCAATTCTTCTGCTGTGCCAAACCAAATTTATCGTTACATACAGCTGCAGCCTGAACGTGAAGTAGCCCAAATAATTAATATACATAAATCAATGGAAACAGTACTTTGATTAATAAGGGAGTGCTGTTAGCTTTGCGACATCTGTCTGCTTTGCAGTAGCCTTTCAACGGCAGCGTTGATGTCGCCAAATGTAGCGATCAGCGCTGAAACGAGAAGATACACAAAATATTCAAAGCCTGATTAAAATTCTGGTCCTTAAATGTAGCAACTCTTTTTAAACATGTTTCTGCATACTAAAGCAGCTTAAGAGACAAAACGATTAATCTGACAGTTAGGTTAAAGTGAATGTCGTTGAGATTTCAAGTTCTCAACAGCGGCGTGTATCCTTCACACTAAGATTGCTGTATTCTTGGTTGTAGCACCATGTAGAAGTTTACAAACATTTCATCGCCCTGATGATGGGGGCAGTGAGGGCCTCCGAAACATTGGTAAACTTCTATTAAACTACATGGCACTACAACCCAGAAGGCAGCCATCTTCAATCTGAAAGTTAACGACATTCAAACGTTTATGGCTAGTCATGTTGGTACTTCTGGTAAAAGGTGTTTCTACGAAGTATAAATCCCTCGGTTAATTAATTATTGATTAATCTATTAAAATAATGATAGGTTCACGATGCTACTAGTAATCACATTATTGAAGTTTCTGCGATAAAATTATAAATGTAATCTCTCCTATATTAGAGTTGATGAGATTTCATGTTCTCATGGCATCAAGTATAAAGACCGTTCTGCGATGTTACATCACGTAGTCTTGTAGAAGTTTACCTAAAGTTTAGGTAAACTTCTGCTGGACCAAACGGCACATCTCGGAAGACAATCATCTTTCTTCAAATGGCACCTGACCTGCATCTGCAGCTACATTTAAATAGCATCGCAGGCACAGACCGGTCAGTCACGTCTTGAGATTACGTCTGTTCGTAATGGGTTTTCAGTACATGCGATATTTCATTTCGTACGACAGCAACAAACCCAAACTTCATACCGACAGGCACTGGGCAAAGTTCCAACGAATCTTACCTTGAAGGTTTGCGTCTCTGTTTACAAATCCCATTGCCGTAAGCTGCTCCAACTGAGCGTGGTATCTTTCTTCAGGAGGTTGGCTGTTAGCCCCGCTCTGAGCAGACATGCTGGAAATCTGCAAAACGTGCACAAACAAGACTGGGCAAAAGCTCAAACTCATCAAAACAAGCTAAACCAAAAACTGATCTTATTAAAGATACGGCAGTACAGGAGGAGAAGCCGACTGATACTTGATTACCCGTCCTTCGGTTAATGCAATGTACAGGGATAAGCACGTAAGAACTTCACACCTACATCAGTCAATAGAAAAACTCTCATAAGGTGAACGTAGTAAGTGCTCGGCTTATGAGTTCTAAATTTCCTGCAATTTACTACATTTTTCGTCAATCCCCGCGAAAACACACGCGGGGCTCCGCTGTATAGATATCACTAAAATAAATATAATACATACCATTCTGGCCATGAACTGGGAGAACACATCCTGCTGTGGACTCGGGGTGGTCTGCGAGGGAGCGGCTCCCGTGCCTGGTGTGGCGGCGGCGGCGGTCGTGGGTGTAGAAGGCGCCGTAGTCTCGTTACCAGGACTAGCTGGTGCATCTGAGGCTTGCGTAGTGTTTGGTGTTGCCGGTGCCACCGGAGAAGCTGGGGTTGTACCTGATCCCCCTCCTGTGCCCCCACCAAAAGGAGGCAAAGGCCCAAGTCCCATACTACAACATTCATAAACAAAAGCATAAAGAAAAGCACACAAATTCTATTTTATGAGAAAATTAATTTACTGTTAATTTAAAGGTGATAATTAAAGATGCAATCACATGAGACAGTAAATAATTAATTGTATTTAACAGATTATAAGACAAGATAATTTTACTTTTATCATTTTAATGTGACCTCTACTGGCTGTGTATCTCATTATGTGATGGCTTACACGTGCAGTCCAAGTGGACACGCCACTAAAAACTCCCTTTATTTTTAACCAGCTTATAACAGTCCTGCCCAGTTCGTTCACAAACGTCCAGCCTAAGAGCATCACTGCCTGCCAGAAAGTTGATTTAAAATCACAATGTTAAGAGTCAGTGCTAATGGGTGAGAAGCAGCGAGTTAGAATGCGTTTCATCCATAGGAAGGCCTTAGAAATGTTACAAAATGAATGTTGTTCCGTGTATGCGTGATTTTAAGAATGTGGATTAGGGGCTTGGGTACATCCCACATACGGTGAGTCAACTAACCTATTTACCAATCCAGGAGCCACATTGCGCAACTGCTCCACTCCTTGCTGAATTTGCATCAGCGCTCCTAAAGCCTGTGGATTGGCCATCAGATTATGCACCTCAGGATTCTGCAATTGCTGCAGGAAGTTGGGCAGCATCAACCGAATTTGCTCCTGAAAAATAATACAAGTGTCAATTTCAAAAACTACAAAATTAACTTGTACAGTGACCTTTGGTTATCTGCCTGACACTGTTTTATGCAATATGTTGCGTCAGAAATCTCCATTTTAAGTCAACACGGCAGAGAGTGGAATGAATCACTGCCCCCCACCACGTAGCTTCCACATTTTGCTACGGACGTACTACTGTTCAGGCACTGGCACGAAGAACTCCCATTACTAATCTCTTAAAAAACAAATTCTTTCATTTACAAATTTACATTATGTCAAACACTATTTTTACGAGAATTTTTAATTTCACGACACGTAGTAAAAAAAGTAAAAGTAAAGCTATCCCACTTTTCGCCATGTAGGCGCTTGGGGTGAGTGGAGGTATAGCTCCTCTCTTCCTTGACCTCAGCACTAGATGGGGTGAGTGCCCATCATCACGCTCCGACCGCGCTTTACCCCCGGGAAAGGGCCCCAGAACCCATTGCAGAGGAGGCTGGGTGGGCCCCAGAGCCGGTCTGGATGCAGAGGCTAGAGGAAAAATCCTCTGCCCCCGTCGGGGATCAAACCATGGTCGTCCAGTCCGTAGCCAGTCACTATACTGACTGAGCTATGCTGTATTTTATTCATAATTTAATAACACTGTATAGTGGGTTCATGTTTACCCTTGCCTTTTTAATTAGTCTTCTGTATCATCTGACATTTTTGATTATTCGACTGTCCTCCAGTAGCATTTAGGATGGATAACTGGGACTCAACTGTACGTCTGTCTGTCGGCTCTATTTAGACACCCCTATAAATGCAAGTGGTGGTGGTGTAATCTTGTCAACATCCTAATCACAGTTTTCAACTGGGGTGTGGTCAGGAATGAAAAATACTTCCTGTGATTGAAACAAAGCCTTTCATTGAAATTAAATAAGTCTGACACCAGCGGAAGCAGTGTCACAGTTGAAATCAACTTTCAACGAAGCTTGCTCTTTCATGTGATGTTGAATAAAAATGGACTTGTACGCCTTAGGCCATTTTTACATTTCATACATGAAACTTGATAAACTGTTCTGTAATCAGACCACCCACAAATAACTCCGGAAAAGATTGTATTCATTTCACTCTGAGGCTTCGCCAAACAAACAAATGATAAGCCAAATACAGTCGACTCCAAGACTTTCTACCACAGTAAGCGGCATGAAGTTAAATTTGGAGAATCGATTAAAATATGGAATTGAAAATAAATGTAAAGTAGGTACGTATATACAGACTGATTACTATGAAACTTTTTGTGCACGTAAATGGGCACATTCGCAATAACACAGTTTTTACTTCCAAGTTTCTAGCTTAAAAAAAATGCAATAAATACACTATTTTGTAACATGCAGCACAATGAGACAGTTTCCATCTAAATTGGTACACGCACGCAGACTGTGCAATTTAAATGCCATGCCTAAAAGGCTGAAGGCCGAGCAAAGACAATCACGCTGAACGTACAGCTTTCACTTCAAGTGCCACGAGAAAACTCACGGCGGACTACATAATGCGACTGTTTCAGATACTGAAATTTCTATGTGCGTAAAATTCTCTGAATGAAAACAGAATTTGTTTTCTTACCTGCAAAGCCGGGTTATCAGCAAACAGGGGATTGCTGTTCACAATTTGGGCAGCCATGTGTGGATCCGAAGCAAATGCTTGAAGCATCGACTGTGTGTATGGGGCAGAGAGCATATTCTGCATCAGCTGTGGGTTTTCCATCATCTGTTGCATGAGGCTCTGCATCCCAGGAGAGTTGAGGAGCCCAGACGGGCGCGTACTAGCACTTCTGGCAGCTGTCCCGCCGGTTTCTCCGCCGGCAGCCGACCAAGGATTTGGAAGCGGGTCGCGGTTTTCTTGCCCTTGCTGCGGATTTGTACCATCTGAAAAAAGTTTACTTATATCTTGACCGAGTTCTGGAAATTGCAAGTTCAACTATGATTCTTTTTCTAGGATTAAGCGCATGTCCTAGGCACCACACTCTTCAACATTGTGCACACATCAGCGTAACAAATTCTGACAGATGGCAAGAACCCTTGGATTGAACCCCCTCCTGGCATCAATTCACCAGTTTGGAAAACCCCGGAGTTGCCAAATTCCTACGGGGTGGCCTCGGCGACGGCCAGCCGAAAAATGTGACAGATACACGGAGAGGCGGGCAGACATGAACGGTTCTGTAAGGTTAGGTTCTACACAACCCAGAAGACCCACTAACACGAGAAACTCGTACCTCATACTTCGTTTTATTACAATGACTGATGGAAAGGTGGTTAAGCTGGACAGACTGCTCTGTTAGGATAGAGTCCACCGTAAATTAGAAGGCCAAATTATCATTACAGAGCAGCCTGAACCATTAGTTATGCTGCTATTACTTCACACAGACTCTTGACTGTACAATCAAATTTCCTTTATGTGTACTTTGCAATAAGGAGGCTGTATTTATCTGTCCATTTTATTTATGAAATTACCAGAGGAATTTCAATTAAATTTGGCAGTGGGGTTCTGCAGTTTTGTTGCGAATCAAATTAAATTTTGGTGCATACTGGTGAATTAGAACCCAAACTAATCATCAAGTCCAAAATGAACTATAACAAAATTCTGAAAAACAGTGCAGTGTACAAAAAATTACTAAACGACATCTTACAAATGTCATAAAGACCTGTAACTTTGATTTAAGCCGTTATTAATGTAGTGCAATTATCATTGCAATAACAGACATGAAGATGGCAGTCTTCTGGGTTGTTGTAGTTGTTTCAGAGGTCCTTGCTGCCTCCATCATCGGGGCGATCTAGGTTGCTGCTCTGTGTAGTCTGGTAGAAGTTAACCGATGTTTCAGATCGCCATGACGTCGGAGGCAGCGAGGACCTCCGAGACACTGGTAAACTTCTGCCATACAACATGGCGCAACAACACAGAAGACCACCTCACCGCCATGAAAACCACAAATCCTACTTAATAACAGACTTGTATCTGCAGTAAAGGGACAGCAAGGCCCATGACGTATGCAAAAAATGTGTGCCCTATTGTGTAATTCAACGACCTCGTCAATAAGCTGAGGACATCAGGGACTGGTCATTAGTGTTCCATTGAAATGTACGTCTATTTCTGAGTTGCATTTCATACCATTACTGCCACTATTGTTCTCCACCAATCCTGCAAATGGGTTTCTTCCAAACTGCTCGCTAGCTGCGCTTAACATCGGTTCCTGAATATCTCTGTACATCCGCTGAAGAGCATTGTAACCACCTGCGAAAATCACATCGAATGTAAACACCCCTTTCATTTTTCCTTCGTTTCAACCGCCTGGTGTTTCCGGAGAGTGAGACGTTTCTGCCTTTATATTTTTAACAAACATATTGAAGTTCAGAACTTAATTCACCACAAAATTTACCAAAGTAACTCCACTGTACAGTCACTATTAAGAAGCTGACAGTGATCCATCTCGTCAAAAGAGTAACTGTTCTGTGCAACTATAAGGTTCACAACCTCTTCACAAAAGACATGTACCATCTTCAGCCAGTTCAATCCTGTCCATCTCTTCACATCCTGTTACTCTTAATTAAAGGCAAAGATACCATTGGTCTAATTAAGAACGTGCAGGGGAGTGGAGGCAGAGCTCCACAAATTGATAACCTCAGCGCTAGATAGAGATGAATGGTCCGCTTTACCTCCCTATGGAAAAAGCCCCCCTACCCACTAGTACAGAGGCTGGGTGGACTCCAGAGGTTGTCTGGACAAAGTCATAAAGAGATAAATCCCTGCCCCACCTAAGAACAAAACCCCAATAATCCAGCCAAAAGCCATCATGTTCCTCAAAATGTTCAGTTTAATATTATCCTCCCACCGACACCTATGTCTAACAGGTAATATCTATTTCTATATAGATTCTAAACTCAAGACGATAGTTACCATATTCACTTGGCCAATTGTTTTGTTTCTCCGCAAAATAAAATTCTTGTTCATTTACCGCATTCAGCTTAATTTGAAATGTTGTACATGCCAGAAAACAAGTCTCTATGCAGAAAAATGTTGAAAGCGCTAGTATTTACGACACTCGGTCAGTCCAGAGCCTTCGATAGCCTGACGCCAGCTCGGACAGATGCAGATATACTGTCCGTTTCACGCGTTTCAAGACGCTACCCATAGCTGACCCATTTGTACGCTACCCCTTTCCCCACTTCCCTTCCCTAGGAAAGATGTAGGCTTATATGAGATCACAATGCTGTATGTGTGGCCCTCTTTCAAATTTTTGACAAACTGGCAGATTTTCATATCTGGAGGCCACCACAATCACGTACTTTTCAATTTCCTGCGATCTGTGACAGTGGCACTAATTAGAGAGGTGGAAGCAAAACTGATGCCACTTCATCCGCTGTTCTAAATATGTGAACGGGGGAAGGCTGCATATCACCATATTACTTTTATAACCCATACGAGGAAGATACGGAGAGCTCGTACCATCCCGACTGCCAGTGGCCTCTGCACTTTAGGACTCGGAGTCCTAGCTATAAAACCGCGCCCATGCCTGCATCCTAGTCGAAACAAAGTCAAAGAATTTAAATGAACACCATTACTGCATAATGTATTCATCGGGGCAGACCACCCTCCTCCAGTCTCGTCCATTTTCTAAGCATTTGCCTAGCTTCAATTACATATAAAAAAAATATTAAACAAATAAGAACATTCCGAAATTTAATAATCAGAATCAGATTTAAATACCAGGAATAGATTCCAAATTGGAAATGGCACGATCATGATTTCTCATCAACTCTTGTAACATGGAAGGGTTCCGAGCCAACTCCATAGTCTGTCGCAGAATATCTGGGTTGTTCAGCATGTGGCTTATCTCAGGGTTTCTCTGTAAATACAGTAACACAAGAAACTCGGTTGACCAATGACTCTGGAAAAAACAAACTCCTTCTACACTTATGGAATATCAATAGGAACATCGGATCTACTCTCGTAAGGAACGAGAAATAAAACTAAATCCTTGACACTGCCAAAACTCTCACTTAACAGAAAATTAAATTTTACGGATGACAAAAACAAAGAAAGAAAAAACCAACCGCATCAAAACACTTGAAATCATTAAATGGATTTTCAGGCCATCATTAGTCCCAAGACATAAAAATCAAAAACCACAAGACTTGCACAGCTGTTATAACTGCGTCAGCATATCGACCGATCAAAGTTTCGATGGTAAATGAGGAATGGTAGAATGACCCTCCACCACTGTTCATCACAATAAAAACACAGGAGCTCTTTCGTTGTGAACAATTTAAATCTACCGAAGTAAATAATACTATGCATAAAATTCCATTAAAATGAATATCTGCAAATCAATAAAAAATTGTAATTACAGGGATACCTCGTTTTATTGCGCTTCGCAGATATTGTTTTTTTCCTCCAAATTGAAAGTTTGTGGCAACCCTGCGTCGAACAAGTTCATCGGCGCCATTTTTCCAACATCACGTGCTCACTTCGTGTCTCTGCGTCACATTTTGGTAATTCTCGCGATGTTTTTTTAGACATAATACTATTGCACACTTAATAGACTACAGCATAGAGTAAACATAACTTTTATATGCACTGGGAAACCAAAAAATTAGTGGGACTCGCTTTATTGCGGTGGTCTAGAACCGAACCCGCAATATCTCCGAGGTATGCCTGTACAAGCAGCTATAATTTAAGTCCTAGGTTCTTCTGAGAATAATTACCTCCATAAGTTCTTGCATCTGTGGATTAGATGTGATGAGGTTTCGCATATTTTCAGGGTCATTCATGAGTCGCTGTACCAAAGGATTGTCCAGTATCTGTCGCATCATGTCGGGGTTTCCTAGCAGTTCTCTCTGCATGCGCTGCTGCAGTTCCATAAAGTTGGCAGAACCCATTCCAAGACTCTCCAAACCTGCCAGACCACCAAGCGAGCCAAGGCCAAAGGGTGTTGCGCCAATGTCCGCTAAGAAATTATATCCAAACTTGTCCATAATCAACAATCATAACACTGCATGTTTATACCACAAAGTACAGGGTGTAAACAAAGTATTGTAACCATCATATTTGTCTACTCTAGGCCAGAAGGAAAACATTCACATGAGAGTCAGAGTATCAATTTTGCGGATGTCTCCGAAAGACAACGCACACAAAAGTACAGACTGAAAGGAAGGTCTCGGAGGCAAGAGTTCTGAAACTAGCACAGACTACACTGTTCGCCAATAATACAGTCTGGACATGAGAAAGCGTCTAATTATGGACTTGACAACCAGGGTTCAATCCCTGGCAGAGGAAAAGGACTTTTCTTCTACCCTCTGCATCCAGCCTCCTGTACCAGGAGACCTTTCTCCAAGGGCCAGGGTGCAGCGCTGACAAGTCACTGCCACCTGGTGCCAAGGTCAAGAATGAAGAGCCACAAAAATGTCTCCATGGCATGTAGCGCGACAGCTTTACTTTACAGTATGCAAACATTTAACATTTCTAAAGAAGAGATGACTTCCTGAGTATCTATTAACCGTAGCAGTGCATGATCGAAGGAATTTTTGGCGAACTTGGAACATGCCTCTTCAGAAAAGTTTTGGACACAACCCACAACTTTCTCCTATTCATATTTGAGAGTAAACCATAAAGAAATCGCCAATGAACAACCATTAGTATTCATTCTTTACATTTCACTTCGTCTGATGCGTGTCTGGTTACTGTCTTGCCGCATCAAGTTTCCATGTGCCTCTGCCCACTGCGTGTGTTTCTGCACATCTGTTGCATTACCCATGCCACAACGTACGAGGCCTACAGGTGACCACTGAAATGTTCTGAGGCCAACATTCTTCTTCCATGCATATTAAGTGTGCCAAACCACTGAAATTACTTATTTTCTACTCTGTCTAACCTCGATATTTGAGAGCTTCTTCACCTTTTGTCTTCGTGGGCCAAATAATATATTTATTTTGCTGCCATATGCTAGAACAGACTTCACTAATGTTTTGCCAGTTGATGTTACTACTCTCCTAGAGTTACGTTTCTCTCAAAAAATAAATGTTGAGCATCCGATAACATCTCAGCCCCGATGAATTCCAACCCCAATATTTCTACCACCAAACCCATCCTTGTTAATAACAATAATGGTTTAAAGCAAACACGTACAAGACCACACATCAAAATATTCGCTGAATATGGCCGTCTTCCGACTCGCCGCTGCGAAAACCTCAAATCTCAGAAAGTATTGCTAAAATGTGAATATGAAGCACTACCTGTGCTATTTATTGCCTTTACTCACGACTTTTAAAATACCTGGACTGAAGCATTAATTCTATTCATGAAAGAGCACTCCAGAAAGCAAACCCAATAAGAGAGTAAGCGTGAATTACAAGATGTCGTAAATATTTTCAAAGAATACAAGAATGTTTTTATTTCATGAACGTAGAGGCAAATCTTCAAGACAGGTTGAATGACGCACTACCCCAGGGGCTCCAACCTATTCCAAAGCTAGGGTCACATCCAGTCTTGTGTAAAACTTTAGGAAAATTTGAAGATTTCTGTCTTTTGGGTTGTCGCATGGTAGATGTTTACCGACGTTTCGGAGATCATACCGCCTCCGTCATCAGGGCGATGAGGCAAGTTTATTAAGAACTAAGGCTACCGCAGCAAATAATTCTGTTTAAAACATAATCAGTCATTACTGGGATATCTGACTGACTGCTTTTGCTTGATCAGCTGTTTAATATTGTGTTTAATTTTTCTTGTTGCAATATGGTTGCATCCTTCCAAGTGTTTATCGGTGAGACACGTCTTAGATCTTGATCTGACGTTAGGCTGCTCACAGCGACAAGACTAGAAAAACCTACATAAGATTCATAAAAGGAAAGTACAAGAATTAGCGTTTCAAGACAAATGCGTCAAGTTACAGAGAGGGAACTTCAGCCCAAAGGGATCTCAGTGTAGGACTGTAACCATCACATACTCCAGATCTGAGTCTGTGTGGCCCTTTTCTGTAGCGTACTCTGGAGGCTTTACAAACGGAACTCCAAAATTTTATTTTAGGATCATGGCGAGTTAATTTCAATATATCACAGAAACCGTTACATTGGGCAGAAATAATATTCTTGAACAGCGGAGAACACCAATTTCTACAGGTATTGTAATCACACAAGTAAAATAGCTTTACTGAAAACATTTCTCAAGCATGGATTGAATATCCAATTTTTATCACATTGCGGCATTTATCGCCTTATCCAGAACAGCTTCCCGCTGGCCAACATCTCGCTCTACAAATGGACAATATAAATGCACCTCTCTATATGACACAATACAAAATCCAATTAACAAATAAAAATGAGACATGAAAACTAATTCCGTGGTGCAAGGTTTTCCACGAAAAGTCTCCAGTTAATGAGCTGCTCAAGACACTGCTGGCTTTTATGGAACCTAAAATTCCCTCAGGGTTAGCACCAGAGCTTGCCTTGACCCAGGCAAGTTTCATTCACGCTACATTCCTTTAAAATTCACGTTTATTTCACCAACAACCTCATACAGTGATTCTTTTTCACTCCTTTGTTACTTTAATAGTCTTACGACCATACTACATTCTCCGGACACAGGAAAAACAACATAAAATCATAGTTCTGTACATTTTAAAACAATGCATACAACAACAAGTAACAATTTTAAAAAAATGGTAGTAATGTTGTGTCATGTTGTTCTTCACAAACATAAAAACTATTCGAAGAAAACACAGTCTGATGCAACTAATTGTTGTTGTTGTTTCTTGGCTCTACGACCCGGTTGTGGGTTTTCGCTGCCTCCTTTTCGGAAGTTTCTTGGTCTTTGAAGTGTTCATTGTGAAGAGTGAGCGACCAGCCCACTGACTGTACAATTTCTACTCAATCCTGATTTGACTGCCAGAGCCATCTAGCAGTTAATCAGGAGAGACTTGGGTGAGAAATGGCTGCTGAATTTTGCTCACGAAACATCATGCTCGCAATGTTCTTTTACGTGCCGTAAATCTACGACGTGGGACCGCCGGCTTTACTTCCCCTCCGAAGGAAGTTTTGCTACGGACTTTTATCACCCTTAAAAAGCCACTGACCTCGGCTGGGACTGAACCTGCGAACCTTGGGTCCAGCGGCGAGCACGCTAACCACTAGTCCACCGAGGTCGACGATGCAACTAATTAATGTTACTTAATGGGCTTCACCTAAGATGGCGTGTTTTGGAAATTATATTTCTATCATCAGGTCAAGGGGATCTTACCCAAATATCTTCATAATAAGATGCAAGTTGTTGTAGCGTTCAACTCAGATTTCAAAGTGCGATTGTGAATGAAACTTCTGCGATATTTCCCATACAAATTGTTGATTTATTTTAATTTCTTTGATGGTTTAAAATCTTAAAATTTTCATCTTTTAATGGTTTAACTAATTGACATTGCAACCTACAGGATCTTATGAACTTATTTCTTTGACACGATGATGGAAATATAATTACTGAAACTTGTAGTCTTAAGCAACATTAATTTGGTGCATCAGACTGCGCTTTATTCGAATAGTTTTTATAACTTAAAAAAAAACCTTACCTGGAGCTCTCGGTTGTGGGCCTGAACCTGTCTGCTCATTGGATGTTCGAGAACTCGTCTTGATCACGAGATGCACGGTCAATCCATCCTTAATATTATGAGTCTGTAGAGTTTCATGATCTTTCATAATTTTCCCAGCAAAGATTAAACATAACTGATCAGGTTCGGCATTGAACTTTTTTGCAACAAGTTCCTTGAACTGTAAAAAACAATAAAATGTGAAACATCAAATATCACTAAAACGATTTGCAAACTATACAATGGGGCATTAATTATGCGGAACGGAGACATATCAGGATTTACAACTGTTTGGCGCCTGTGAAACTGAATGGAAAACAGTTTAGAAGATTCAAGGTCAGAGAGAAAACAAAGATAAATAATTGTCATCTTGATTGCACAACCATACAATTTTCTATTTAACGTAAATTTTCTTATGGTTATCGCAGTATTTATTTTGCTGCTCATTTCTCTGTCATATGAAGCGGGCACTAAACACTTAACTTTATATTCCCCATAAGAAAAATATATATGTTTTATGCAATGTTGACAACCATTTCAGATACAAATATTCTGATCTTAAGAGGATTTTCTTATATAAGTTTTGATATCCATATTATTTCCATTCTTGGACAATGATCTCTTGCTACCGTGGGCTGGTTTGTTAACGTTTTGAAGAACAAGGTTGTGTCCACCTGCAAAGTAATTGGCACTCCACTGATATTTATAGAACTCCCCACTATCTTATGGCTTAGAACTATAAAATTCAACATCGGGCTGTTTAGTTACTTAAACTCAAAGATGGATACATCCAGGTTCTTCAAACATCAGCAAAGTAGACCACCACAGTTTCAACAGGATTCATTTACTGTCCATACTGCAGACAATTCTGATAGCTTTTAAAGGGATGTTTGGCAAATGAATAAATCATGGCTTATAGCCCGCATATTCACCTGATCTTATCCCAAGCAACTTTTATTTATGGGGAAAACTTAAGGAAAAGTGTACAAAATGAACCCCCATGCCAAAGGAGCGTTAAAGGAAAACATACAAAGAGCAATTTTAGAACTTCCTCAAAAAGAACTTCTTCAGGTGAATTTCATCCTATTTAAATGGCAAACAGAATGTGTTGAAGTATGGGAAAATCATTTTTAGCGCCTCTTAGGAAGATGCATTTATCCTATTGTTTTTATGGAATAATACTGACTCATAAGAATAGTCATGTAGTGCTTGGCAGTGAGTCAGCAAGTGATGGTTGAAACTATGTAAGTGAACGCAATGTATATGTGATGTCTTTTGCAATTTACAAACCACAAGAGATTAAAGTCCACAAATCAAGCAGAATCATGAAGAATTATTATACAAAACTACAACACGTTTCTGGTCACATTTTTTATTCAAACTGACAAGATTATTGAATCAGCATTAAAACCTAAAATGTTCTCACTGTCTGTTATGACAGAATGTGAAATACGAAAACAATCCCTTTCAGATATCTTGTTCTTGAAACATAAGAACATTAATAATGCACACATACAATAACATCCAACTGTGCCTAAAATATATGAACTGAATATAAATAATGCTATATGTTGTACATCATCTGTATTTTTCCATTATATAGGAGCATCAAAAGAAAGAATCCAATACACAAAAATTAGAGCTATTTCAAACAGTGTCATAAGGTTATGTTGCTTCTTCAATTATTGTGTACGAAATACTGACTTCTGTTTTTGACAGCAAAATAACCATGAGATTTTTACTAAAGGCATTTTTACACTGTTCACCCACACATAAAAACGAGAATGAAGTTGCTTTGCTCCCTGATATCTGATAATAGACACTAATTACATATACTTCATTCTGCCCGAGCCAAAGTGGCTTCGTCATCAACTTGCAGCGTCACAAAATGCAATACGTTTGTAAATTATCAGATCCCACATATAGACACTGATACATACATCTTTTATTGATGCGTTCTCTTCTACTTCAACAGTTTGTTTCTCTTTCGGTGTTTTTACAGTAAGATTAAGTTTCTTAGAAGTTTCCTGACCTTCCGCCATTTTGGAAAAGCGGGATGACTCGTTGACGAGCACTGTTCACCGTGTGTGCGTTTAGAATTCCGACGCAGTTTCATCATTCGTAGCGTATGAAACACTGTTCTATGGAATACAACCTCAGATTATTACAACAAGTGTGGACAAACATGTCAAAGCAAAAAGATTCTTCATATCCCCAAGCCAAGGATGTAGAACTTGATGTTATCTCTAATACAAATATAAATTACATAGTTATGACAGTAATTTTTGTCAGCTATAGTATTGCTACAAAAATAATGACATAAGAAAGCATAACCACTTTTGCTTATTATTTCAAAAAAGGTTCTCCGCAGTTGTTGAAAAGGCCAATGCAACACAGCGCTATTGCCAGTTTATATTTCTTTGGCTGCCAAAATCGCGTAGAACAACAACAATAGTTATAATAACAGCTGGTAAATGCCGTCAAATGAACTGAAAGACAGAGGTAAACAAAAGCCTATCTTTGATAAGTGTGCCTTGGCATTGGATGGAGATGAATGGCCAACTTCACGGAGGGACCGCTTCATTCCCGGGGAAAGAACCTTGTGTAACCAACAGGTCAGAAAGATGTGCGAAGCCCAGTGTTGATGTAGGCGCGGGGGAGGGGGGGACACTTTTCAATAAGGACACCTGTAATTTTGGAACACAGCAGCTGATTTCCTATTCGTCCTTGCACGAATCTTAGGACGAACACTTCAGTGCCATGTATAGTCAGTGCAACGAACCTTTTCACTCATGACTGTACCAGCAAGGTTTGATTCTTGTGCCCTCTTCGCTCAAATTTGCGTACCAGAATGAACGATAAGGAGGACATGTGGTCGTCGCTCAGAAACAAAATATTATATAAAAAAAAAATCTCATGTGTCTCCTACGCATGTGAACCGTAGTCTTTTACTTTGACCAAGGAACATAGTTTACAAGTGTTTAAAAACAAAGTGTTCAAGACCCAAGAAACACGAAATCTTCAGTTGAATAGCAACTTTATATGGATCAAAGCTGTCGTACAGAAGTAAATCGGCAGCTAAAGATAATGAAATCAAATGGCTTGGGCAAATGACTGGGATTTGGAGATAAAAAATACATACAGAATTTTGGTGAGGGACCTTCTCGGAAAATGTCCGATTAACAGATGGAAAGATAATATAAAAAAAATGTAAAAGTGTTGTGAGGATGCGAAGTGGACAGAACTGGACCAAGATCGTGTACAGTGGCGGTCGTTTAGCCTCCAGGTGAAACAACTTTAGTGACAAAACAGTTGAACTGCTACATGAGTCGAACTGGTTGCGTGGAATCGGCTGAATTGTTTCCACGGCGCTGAGATCTGTACTTTCGTAGGACTATAGGCCATTATGTGGTGCCCTCTCTTTGCATTGAGGCTAGGCATTCATTAAACATGAACAAGGGACGTATGTGGTGCCCTCTCTTTGCATTGAGGCAAGGAATTCATTAAACATGAACAAGGGACGAACAACTTACTTTTAAATAAGTGACTATACATTCATAGATGGATCCTGTACTGTTTAATGATGTTCTGTTGACTACTGTAGTTATATTATGCGGAGAAAGAGAAGTGACATGATATGAAAGGTTGAATTACAATGGACGTGGTGCGAAGCGGTGGTGGGTTATTTTACGGCAACGTTCTAGTTTTTGCCCGGAGGGCAAAAACACGACAACTGGCCTTGAGGACGAGATTGGAATTCGACACCATCAACTTACAAACCACTATACCGCCGTATTAGGAAACATTCTTAGAATATGGAGAAACATTACTTGTTCCATGTTTTGATTTCATAATAATCTCTACAGATAAATCTGCCACCTCCATTAAGCAGAGTCCTTGAGAGATAAACAGTACGCTCAACTAGTCTAGAAATTCGCTGCCTTGTATGTGATCCGATAGTTCATTGTCGCGTTCTAAGGAGCAAGTAACTAGTCCCTGTCCTGTGCTAAATGAATTCACTCCACACACTTTGTCCCATTTATTGAAGATCCATTTAGGATGTTAATATTATTCTTTGTATGCCTCCTGGGGTAATGCTAGCTGGAAACAAGTTGTAACGTTGGCTAACCTGGCTGGCAAGAGCGGGAGCGACCGTTAGTGATGTAGGACGATGCATCAGAGGTGGCCTCGCTGTAATGACAATGCGAGCCGGTAAGCGGTCAGTGAAATCTGTCGCGCGCCAAGTTTGCGTTCTGTAACCGCTAATTAAACGTAATTAGCACTGCAAAAAAGTGTTATCAGCGTGTGTTTTGTGTTGTGAATGGATACAGATCAACGTGAATGTGCGTGATATAAAAATGAAAGTGAATGACATATGTGACTAATTAACCACCAAACTTGGATTAATAAATATGCGCTCAGCTTCCATCCTAATTCCAGGTGAGAATTTGTATTCATCTCTGTCTCTTTCTGTCTTCACTGGAATGTGAGCGGGGCCACGTAGCTGCTAGCCGAGACGCTACTAGACCACATGCTACAACAGACTCTGCATCTGATTCTTCAGCTGCAGAGTCTGTTCGGTTACTGTCATTATTGTTGACAGCCACAAATTCGGGATTTGGAAATTTCTCAGCCAGTTTCTTTGAAATTTTTAAAAAAAGGAACAGGAATCTTTATTTTAATCAGCGTAAGTTTCAGTACATTAGAGACGTTTAACATTACCCACAACACAAATTTAACGTCGTATCTTTTGAAACAAGTTAATCATCCCACGATGCATGGTCGTTTGTGTTTACGTTTTTCTGTACTGTTCTGTAGAGGTAATTTTGAGTTGGAACAGGACATAGCTGCTGAATAAGGAACTATAAATAAAATAATTATGCAGTCGGTAATTAACCTTAAATAGTGTTATAAAATTGTGACGCTAATCAAATTGGTGTTGTGGTAAGGCTGTCGCTGTGTCAAGCTTGTTTTATCGAAACCTGTCGAAGGACAAAAGAATATAACCCTTAATTTGTGCCCTTAAGTAAAATGACCCTTAGAATGAGGAAATCGTAATGACTGAACAAGGTTTAATGTCTGAGTTGGAAACGGCGTTAACAAATCAGAATCGCGTTCATGAAGTAATTAATTGTTATAATTAAGAACGAGGCGGTTATCTCAAGAGCATCCATAATTTGTGATATTATTAGGGCGACCAAATCAATTAGGATAGGACGGACAGGTCACGTAGCTCGCATATATCTGTCTGTCCGTCCACACTTCTAAATACGGAACGGTTTTCTATTAAATTTGGTATTTGAGGGCTCTACAGTGAACAATGTAACCTTTTTTATTTGAAATATCCCTTAATGGCGAATGTTTATTTTAATATCTGTGCAACAGACAACTGTTTGCACTGCGTGTGTTGTTACAACCGTTGCTATGACAATGTCGTTAAGGGATTTACGGCTAAATGGGATAATATTAAAGACCATGTGTGTCTACTACTATGTATTTTCCCTTTATTCTTGGCGAGTACTTTTCTAGAGAACTCATCGCCCTGATGATGGAGGTTGCAAGGACCTCTGAAACAGAATACAAGGCCCCACAACCCAGAAGACAGCCATCTTCCTACTTCAAATCCTACAAAGAAAGAATGGCTTTTGTTTGTGTATTTTGATTAATCTGTGATTGTAAATTCGTATGAAGACCAACGACGCAGGTCCACGAATGCCTCGGGTCTTTATTGGCACGAAACTTGCCCGTAAGGTTGGAAGCCCTGGGAAACGTGAATTCGTAGATTTTGAACGCCTCCTGAGAGGGGAAGGCTCAAGGTCACGAGATTCCAGAAGGGAGACTCCAAAGAAATCTTTACACCACTTGAAGATGGCCGTGGAAAGTAGTGTGTTATAAAAGTTTACCAGCGTTTCGGAGGTACTTGCTGCTCCCATCATCAGGACAAGACAACACGTACAACCTCAAATCGTACTTTACAGCACTGGGTTGCATTCCATAAATAGTTTCTGGCACTAAACGTGGCTAGAAAAAGATTTTTTTTTTGTGAAAGCTACGACTTCAATGTCAATGATTTACAGCTGTCACGAGAACCGGTGTTGGCCTTGTTGAGTTGTCCTTTCGCCTGAGAACAACGGTGTTAAGATATACAGGACCTCAAGGAAAAGACACGTTCTTACTTAATCAATTGGATTTACGGTGATTCGCTATCATACAGTCTAAAGACTGAGGATATCAGACGACAGAGTGACGATAACCTCTGGACCTAAGAGGAATGACTTGCAAATAATTTGATCTCTCACCAGATTTTGCTAGGATCGTGGAGGATGGGATGGACAGGGCACATAGAAAGAAGGGGGAAGATGCCAAATGAATACAAAATTGTGATTGGAATACCCGAAGGGGAGCGACCACTTTGAAGACTAAACGTAGATCGGAGGATAATATTAAAATGGATCTTAGGGAAACATGGATTCATCTGGCTCAAGAAATTCCTCGCCTTTTATGGAGCTGGAATGTTCATTGCCGTGTTCACAAAAGCCCGACACCGGTCCTTATTGATCGTTTTATTAACCAAGAAAACTCCTCAGTCATGATAGCCGGAGTCCTGGACCTCCCAATATGAACGCGAAAGTTCAGCGCTGCTAATTCCAAAGTCCGTCGCTGGACATGATCCCCGTTCACTTCCATTCATCCACACTATGATCCAGCTTAATGTTATCCTGTATTATTTGTCTTCACACCCATACAAAACAGCAGACAAAGTATTATACATTTTTATGATTAGGATTAGAGGCAGGGGTTTCCAAACACGAAAGTGCTGTCGGCGAGCGCACAAGGCCATGTCGTTACACCGAACTGACAGACTAAAGAGTGGAGGGGAGGGGGGGGGGAGATTAGCCAAAAACCGGTTGGATTTTGGGCGCGTTTTTGTTTCAAATGCAAGTCTGCCACATGAAGCCCGTTCCAGGCCCACTTTATCCACCCCATCGCTTGTAGCATTGCGTTGTACGAATTAGTTATCGTCGCTTTTTGTCGATGACTTGAAAACCGAGCAGGTTAGTGTAGCGGTTTCTCTGTACATATGTTAGTCTGTATTTGGAAGGTACCTGGTTTGAATCCAGGCCGTGTTACCGGTGTTTCTGACACACGTTTACGTGGATTTGCTTGCCGTCTCCACTGCAACATATTCGAGCACGTATCCCTCTACCCACTGAACGTTATTGACATATTCACGTCGTCGTCAAGATGGAAGAGGCTATATAAAAATATTTTTGTGTCGAACGTTGGTTAAAATATAAAGATTTGGACACTCAAAGGCCAATATACGTCGCGGTGCTGAGATTCTGTCTAATGGAATTCTGTTTTGCGCAGGTAAATTTCCAAAAAAGAAAAAGAAAACATTATTCTATTCCACGAAATAAAATCCTAGGCCTAATATTGATTAAAACTTCACAGCGTGGGTTTTTAAAACTCATGTTCGACTTAAAATTTGACGAGTAGAAGATCAAGATGCATTCCAGACACATAAAGGATTTGAGACTTTCGCGTCAACTGACGTTTCGGGAACCAACTCTGTCCCCATCATCAGAACCCTGACATTGACATTTCGGCACGTCTGTAACAGAAGAAATTAAAAATGTGAAGGAAAGTGATCATTGGGAAGACCTAGACAAGGACTGGAGGACACCGCTGTATAGTTCCGAGAAAACGTAAGAAGAATGAAGATGAGAGATCTGACAACGCCGCAGCGGTCAGCTGTTTGGCCCAGGGGTGGCCAGACGAGTTTCATCGATTCAAGATTTAAAACTACCACGGATTTTATTTGGAAAATATAAATTGTACCAAACGTAGCTGCTTGTTACGTGACGTGGTTTGAGTTTTTGTGCGAATGGCTTCTCGCCTTCATTGCACAAAAATTTTGTCCTGTACATTTATAAAATTCCTTCATTGATAAAATATTCATGCACCAATACATGTCGAGGTAAATCATACTTGCTAATTAGACAGAAGTTTGTTAGCGGGTGACGTAAGAAAACTGGAAAGTTGCAGTCAACAGACGAGTACACCCAGTTTCCATAATCGTCATTGACACCGACTGCTCCTAGCTGGTACGAAAAGCTTTGATGACGATTTTAATGACTTATCTTAAAAGTAAAACGCATTGCATTCGGTTTTACTTAAATCATGTTCTAGGCTGTGACTTCGTGTGGACTTGTAGGTAGATACCATCTCTAAAGATGGAGGCAGTGAATTACATCTCAAGTTAACCCTTTTTAAAATTAATATAATATTTAAGAATTCAGTCCTTACCGCAAAGAAAACAACACTTCACCTTTACAAATATCAATTGGCTTTAAAGAAATAATTTCTCTTTGCAGAGAATCTTACAAACGCCACAAATACAAAATGAACAGTCAGTGATTATTAAAGCAGGTGGTACGTATAGTTACCACGGCTATGAAGCGTTAAAGCCAGCAACAGTGGAGGGATTTACTGGGAGATTTTGCTGAGAAGATGCAATTAGGGTTCATAGCTGCAGTTTATTTTTGTTTCCGATTGAACGCAATTTGTTCAAGAAGGTTGATCTGTCCGGAGGTCAACAGTGCTTACAGGCGTGCCCCTTCGAGGCGACAACTCGGCACGGACTTAATTGGGGCATGACTCGCTGAGTCGATTTGCTTTGGGGCAATTGACAATGAAATTTCAATATCGACTTCATGGAGGACAGTCATTTTGATACGCTGATAGTCTCTCTGTTGGTCAACAAATACGCCCACATTTTGTGGAATACGGACGTTCTTAAGAGCTCGCCGCTACCCTGAGCCAGATGAATCAAGTCCACATCATTACGCCGTCAATTTTAATATTATCCTACAATCTGTATCTCCCAAGTGATCTCTTCCCTTCAGGCTTTCGACTGAATTTTGTATAAATCTCTCACCCTCTTAAAATTCCTGCTACATGTCGCGCCGAAATCATTCTTTCATTTGATCGCCCTGATGATCTCTGGTGAAGAGCTGCTGGGGATGATCCGCATAGATTTCGGGATTTATTTCAGTTGCCATCTTCAGGGTGAACTCCAACCATGAAAACATATTGGCAAGAAGTATGAAGCTGTTATAGTACGCTTAGATAGAGTAAGTTACTTTGTTTTAGCAACCTTAACGTAAAACTGATAGTAAATTCATGTTTACTGACATATTTGCCTCTTTCCACACGTAAAACGCCTGTACATTTGAGGGCTACCAACCCGGATTCTAAACTCACCCTGAGGCTCCTCATAAAGGTCCCTTGTATAGGGTGTCCGGCCAATCTCAGATTACAGGGTGACTCGGAAGATGGCACACAGCGTAAAGTTTAGAATTCTATTTAATGTTTTGCAAACATAAACTCCGAACAGGACAGCGAACCTTCAGGTCCCAAAAGCGAGGGAGGTGACC